CTGCTCGGCAGGGAGTCTGCTTCTCCCTCTGACCCTCCTCCCTCTCGTGCTCTCTGTCTCTCATTCTCTCTCTCTCTCAAATAAATAAATAAAATGGGCGGGGAGGCGGGGACTGGGGGCAGATGGAGCCTCAGAGTAGGTGGGGAGCCGGTGTGTGTGTGCGGGGGCGGGGGGGGGGAACCCTTCTTCCCGAAATGTCTGCTTCTCCAAAGGGCCTGGTAATTTGTCAGTGAATCTCAGCTTCCCCGGCACAAAAGAATCCTTCTTTTACGAAAGGGAGGCAAGAAGTGCAAAGTGCAAACATTTAAACTATAGAACAGGAAAGGGAGATTCCAGAGTAAAATTATATGCATTCGATTCAGTACATGGTGGGTGGGTAGCGAGGGTATGGGAGGGGCTCCTTTAATGTAGGAAATTTTATCTCCTTGCCGTGGTTGTTGTCGTTGTTAATAGAAATCTTCATTTTAAATAATGCTCCTCTCCAGACAATTTCATCTTCCCATCAATGGGATTCAGCAGGTAGTCCGATAAAGAGATTCAGGATTCTAAACTTCTAGAAACAACAACACAAGCAATACTGCATAACTGCAGGAGACTCATTTAGTGTCCTCACGAGCACAGAAAATTGAAGCAGAATTAGGTCACTCAGGTTTTTCATACAGATTGAACAGTAAATCAAGAGGGGTTACTGTTCCGGCAAGAAAAAGAGTTCCATTAAAGGTAACAGAATATTTGTTCAGGTCCAGAGGAGAAGTTTATGATTCCTGTAGGAGAGTTATTTGAACAGAAAATGACACTGGTACATTTTGTTCCTTCAAGAAGCTGAGTGACACTTAAAAAAAAAAGAGAGAGAGAGGGAGGGAGAGGGAGACTGACTTTTTGTAACTCTGCTTATAAAATGGCCCTTGGTAATTTTCGAGAAGGAATTTCAGGGTTGCAATGGGGAGCAGGGAAGGACAAAAAGCAGGCTAAGCAGGCTACGCTTGCTTCCTGAAGCAAGGTGCGCCACCGTGTTCAGGCTAAATTCAGAAGTGATCCCGAAGAGGGCTAGCATGATGCAACGGGGCTCTTCTCAGATACCCACCTTGGAATGAGAAGTGCATCTTCCGTGCAAACATTTGTGGAATTAGTTTGCATGCAAATGTGAAACCCGGAGCCCTTTTGCCCAAATATCTACCTTGGAGTGGAAGAACAGAAGTTAGGTATACGGATAGGGCAAGGAAATTGCCAGAAAGACCGGGGGGGGGGGGGGGGG